ATGTCTTGAGTTCTGCCCCATTTTGCGACTTTTCCTACCACTGCAGTTGTTCAATTAGTAACACGGTCGTTAAGTCAATCCGGCTTCCCTGTTGATTTTGTTTGTCAGAAGGTCACAAAAGAGGATCGTGCCCCCCCCCCCCCGGAATATTTGCAACCGTCATAAATGTGAATCATTTGTCAAGCATCCAAATGTAAATCAAGTGAAGTAAGGATGCCTGCAATGGTCATAAGTGGGGGGAAATGGTCCTAAATCACTTTTTTTGGCACCGTTGTAATTTCGGTCACTAAGCGAACTGTTGCAAGTCGAGGACTGCCTGTACACTTTCATGGGGGCAATAAGGTGTGCGAGGAAGGAAGGAGTAACCGTCTGTCAGAAGGTCAAATGTCAAGGCAAAGTGGACTCTTGATGACTTTATGGAGATTGAGTTGCCAAAATAGGTCTCTACCCTCCTAACTGCCCCATTGCCATATAGAAATAGAAATAGAAATAGAAATAGAAATAGAAATAGAAATAGAAATAGAAATAGAAATAAGATAGGATAGGATAGGATAGGATAGGATAGGATAGGATAGGATAGGAGTAGAGTAGAGTAGAGTAGAGTAGAGTAGAGTAGAGTAGAGTAGAGTAGAGTAGAGTAGAGTAGAATAGAATAGAATAGAATAGAATAGAATAGAATAGAATAGAATAGAATAGAATAGATAGGAGTAGAGTAGAGTAGAGTAGAGTAGAGTAGAGTAGAATAGAATAGAATAGAATAGAATAGAATAGAATAGAATAGAATAGAATAGAATAGAATAGAATAGAATTCTTTATTGGCCAAGTGTGATTGGACACACAAGGAATTTGTCTTGGTGCATATGCTCTCAGTATACATAAAGGAAAAGTTACGTTCATCAAGAATCATAAGGTACAACACTTAATGATAGTCATAGGGTACAAATAAGCAATCAGGAAACAATATCAATATAAATCGTAAGGATACAAGCATATCTTTGAGACTTATTTTCTCTCCCAGACCACCTTAAATTGCATCCATCTCAACCTCAAAGGCACCTGAGAGGCAAACCTAGAGTAGGCCTAGCTGCACCCCTGTGAAAAGTGCCCTTTTCCTATTTGTTGTTGTTAGTTGCGAAGTCGTGTCCGACCCATCGAGACCCCATGGACAACGTTCCTCCAGGCCTTCCTGTCCTCTACCATCCCCCGGAGTCCATTGAAGCTCACGCCAACTGCTTCAGTGACTCCATCCAGCCACCTCGTTCTCTGTCATCCCCTTCTTCTTTTGCCCTCCATCGTGCCCAGCATTATTAGGCTCTTCTCCAGTGAGTCCTTCCTTCTCATTAGGTGGCCAAAGGAATTGAGTTTCCTCTTCAGGATCTGGCCTTCTAAAGAGCAGTCAGGGTTGATCTCCTCTAGGACTGACCGGTTGGATGGCCTTGTAGTCCAAGGGACTCGCAGGAGTCTTCTCCAGCACCAGAGTTCAAAGGCCTCCATTCTTTGGCCTTCTCAGCCTTCCTTATGGTCCAACTTTCACAGCCATCCATTGCAACTGGGAAAACCACAGCCTTGACTATACGCACTTTTGTTGGCAGGGTGATGTTTTTTTTTTTCCTTTTCCTAATATTCCTACCCAATCCAAAGGAGCATGGAAGACGGAACCTGTACTACCGGGAAAGAGAAGGATGGGCTCGAATCCTATTTTTTAATCTGGGATTCTAGGATTCAGGCAACCTTTGGCCTTGGCCCTGGGTGCAAAGGACCTCAATCCTCTTCATTGTAGACTATGCTCATTGCTGTACCCCCAAAAGACGCTTGGCCTCCATCCTGGGTGCAAGGGACCCTCCCCTTCCCCTCTTCCCTATGGACTACACTCATTGCCGAACCCCCAAAAGACTCTTGGGTTTGGCCCTGGGTTCAAGGGATCTTCTTCGCTGTGGACTATGCTCATTGCTGTACCCCCAAAAGACACTTGGCCTTGGTCCTGGGTGCAAGGGACCCTCCCCCCCTCTTCCCTATGGACTTCACTCTTTGCCGAACCCCCAAAAGACTCTTGGGCTTGGCCCTGGGTTCAAGGGACCCTCCCCTTCCCCCTCTTCCCTATGGACTACACTCTTTGCCGAACCCCCAAAAGACTCTTGGGTTTGGCCCTGGGTTCAAGGGATCTTCTTCGCTGTGGACTATGCTCATTGCTGTACCCCCAAAAGACCCTTGGCCTTGGTCCTGGGTGCAAGGGACCCTCCCCCCTCTTCCCTATGGACTTCACTCTTTGCCGAACCCCCAAAAAGACTCTTGGGCTTGGCCCTGGGTTCAAGGGACCCTCCCCTTCCCCTCTTCCCTATGGACTACACTCATTGCCGAACCCCCAAAAGACTCTTGGGCTTGGCCCTGGCTTCAAGAGATCTTCTTCGCTGTGGACTATGCTCATTGCTGTACCCCAAAAGACGCTTGGCCTCCGTCCTGGGTGCAAGGGACCCTCCCCTTCCCCTCTTCCCTATGGACTACACTCATTGCCGAACCCCCAAAAGACTCTTGGGCTTGGCCCTGGCTTCAAGAGATCTTCTTCGCTGTGGACTATGCTCATTGCTGTACCCCCAAAAGACCCTTGGCCTGGGACCTGGGTGCAAGAGACCCTCTCCCCTCTTCTCTATACTCATTGCCCAATTCTGAAAAGACCCTTCGGCTCAGTCTTTTTTTTTTTTTAATTGAAAAGTTTTATAGGAAATACAAACATTTTCTCCCCCCCCCTTCCCCCCTCCCCCCCTCCCTCCCCCCTTACCCTCCCACCCATCCCCCCCACCCCCAGACTTCCCAGAACAAGCACAGGGGTATAGCATTCACGAACATAAAACTAAATTATGCTAACAAATTATTGACTTCAAATTCTCCCTAGGTCTTTAACTCCTTATAGCTCAAAACCCTATAAACATAAAGATTGAAAATGTTTCATTCATAAACTAAATGAATCTTTTTAGTCTGATACTTGTTTTGAATAGAGTCGATCCATCTTCTCCATTCCGATATGTATCTTTCGTTTGAATGGTCTTTTAAGATACGATGAAATTTTTGCCATCTCTGCCAAATGCACGACTTTTAGTGTCCATTCCTCAATAGTGGGTGGATCTTCCTTCTTCCAATACTGTGCCACCAGTAACCTGGCAGCTGTTATTAAATTCAAAAGCAATTTAGTCTCTATTACAGTACAATCCGTAACTATTCCCAACAAAAAAAAAAAAAAACTGTGGTGTAAATTTAATCTTTTTCTTTAAAATATTTTGAATAATCCACCATATTTTTATCCAAAAGCCTTAATTTTTTTACATGTCCACCGTATATGAAAATACGTAGCATCTTCACACTCGCATCGCCAACACTTAGGTTGTAAGTTTGGATACATACCGGCTAGTTTTTTGGATCTAAATGCCATCTATAAAACATTTTATAAAAGTTCTCTCTTTTGGCTCGGTCTTGAGTGCAAGGGACTTTCTTCCCTGTGGATTACACTCATTGCTGAACTCTCAAAAGACACCTTGGGTTCCTGGGTTCAAGGAACCCTCTCCCCTCTTCGGTACAGGCCCTTGGCTTCGGTCCTGGGTGGTAGGGACCCTCCCTCCTTCTTCCGTACGGACTACGCTCCTTGCCCAACCACCCCAAAAGAGCCTTGGTAGTACAGTGGTCTAAGGCACCCTGTTATTAAGCTGGTTATTAAGACCAGATGCCTGCAATTACTGCAGGTTCGAATCACGCCAAGACTCAAGGTTGACTCAGCCTTCCATCCTTTCTAAGGTAGGTCAATTGAGGACCCATTTGTGGGGGCAATAAGCTGACTTTGTATAAGTATACAAAAGGATGAAGGCTATTGCTTAGCGCATTGTAAGCCGCCCTGAGTCTCCGGAGAAGGGCGGCATATAAATCAAATTTAGAAAAAAAAAAAAAAAAGCCCTCGGCCTTGGGTGCAAAGGACCCTCTTCTTGAGCCGTGGCTCGGTGGCTAAGATGCTGAGCTTATCGAACAGAAAAGTTCCGCAGTTCAGGGCAGGTTCGAATCCTTAAGTATAGGTCCCCTGGCTGAGCAAGGGGAGGGGGGGGTTGGCCTAGATGACCTCCAAGATCCCTTCCCGCTCTTGTTACTGCTGCTCTTCTGTCCACATCCTATCCGAGACTGGCGTGGCTGTTGGAGTGCGATAGTGGTGGCGAAGGCAGGGTTGTTGGCAGGCGTTTCCTCCTGTCACGCCACCCCTCCCTTCCTGCCCTGGGGGGGCATTTTGGGTGGGGGGGGGAGGGAGAGAGGTGGGAGGTGAGAAGGGGGGGGTTAGGTTGGCAAGGGCGTCTCCAGCAGCCACCGCCAGCTGTTTTGCAGCTTTGGCCTTGCAGGACGGGGCGTGTGCCTGCCTCTCCCTCTGGGTGTGCTTATGTGTTTGTGTATGTGTGTGTGAGTGTGTGTGATTGTGTGTCTCATTCCGAGGCGGGTGCCAGGTGCGGCTGACAAGCAAGGGAGGCTGGCGGGGGAGGAAGGGAGGGAAAAGGAGGGAAGGAAGGAAGGAAAAAAAGGAGGAGGGCGCACAGAGGCAGCTGGAAGGGCGAGTTTGGCAGCTGGGCGGCTCCTGCAGGGAGGCAATTAAGCCGGCGGCTGGGGCAGGCAAGGCAGGCAGGCAGGCAGGCAAGGAAGGCAAGGCAGTCAGCCGGCTTTCGCTCTGCCTCCCGGGGCCAAGCAGGGCAGAGCTCGCTTGTTTGTGTGCGAAGGTGGCGCCCAGCCCAGCAGGGACTCGAACCGCGCCCTGGACCCCTTGGCTGGGCTTGCGGTGCGCGGAAACCTCGCCCCAGCCAGCCAGCCAGCCCGCCCGCCAGCCCGCCCGTCCGCCAGCCAGCCGGGGAGACGCCCTGCCTGCTCAGCCGGCTGAGTGATCGGCGCGCCCCTCCCTGACCCTCCCTGCCTGCCTGCCTCTCCCCTTACCTCCCCGCCCTCTTAGTTACCCAGCCGGCCGAAGGGAGCCTGGCACAGCCAGCCCGCCAGCCAGTCCGCCCGCCAGCCAGCCCGCGTCATGTGACAGCGCTGCCTAGTGCCAGGAGCCCGGGTGGTGGGGGAAAAAGCCCAGCGCAGGAGGAGGAGGAGGAGGAGGAGGAAGAGGCCCCAGCCCCACCGAGGTGGCCCGCCCGCTGGAGAGAGAGAGAGAGAGAGAGAGAGAAAGAAAGAGAGAGAGAAGAAGAAGAAGAAGAAAACCCCGAAGGGAAGCGAGGCCCGAGCCCACCGATCACCTTCCCCCCCTTTCCCCAAATCCGCCAGCCAGCCAGTCCCAGCAGCGCCAACTTCGGAGGTTGGTTGCTTTGACAAGTCCAAGTAAGTCCTGCCCTGGAGGGGGGGGAGGAGGAGGAGGAAGAGGAAGAAGAAGAAAGGGGGGGAGGGGGTGCGAAGGAGGCTCAGCTGTTAGCAGGAGAAAAGGGGTCTTAGGAGGAGGAGGAAGAAGAAGAAAAGGGGGGGGATGAGAGGAAGGCTCGAAGTGTCTGTTGCAAGGAGAAAGGGGGTCTTGGAGGGCTCCGGGGAGTGGGGGAGGAGGAAGAGGAGGAGGAGGAAGAAGAAGGAGGATTGCGAAGAAGGCTCGACGTGTCTGTTAAGAAGAGCAAGGGCTCTTGGAGCGCTCGGGGGAGGAGGAGGAGGAGGAAGAAGAAGAAGAAAAGGGAGTTGAGAGGAAGGCTCAACGTGTCTATTGCAAGGAGAAAAGGGTCTTGGAGGGCTCGGGGGTGGGAGGAGGAAGAAGGAGAAAGGGGGTTGAGAGGAAGGCTCAACGTGTCTGTTAAAAAGAGCAAGGGCTCTTGGAGCGCTCAGGGGAGGAGGAAGAAGAATTGGGGTGAGAGGAAGGCTCAACGTGTCTATTGCAAGGAGCAAAGGGGTCTTGGAGGGCTCGGTGGGGAGGAGGAAGAGGAGGAGAAAGAGGAGAAGGGGATTGCGAAGAAGGCTCAACGTATCTGTTAAAAGGAGAAGGGGGTCTTGGAGGGAGGAAGAGGAGGAGGAGGAAGAGGGGGTGCGAAGAAGGCTCAACTATTACCTGGAGAAAAAGGGGTCTTGGATGCTTGGGAGGAAGAGGAGAAGAAAGAAGAGGAAGGCTCAACGTGTCTATTGCAGGGAGCAAAGGGGTCTTGGGGGGCTCGGGAGGAGGAGGAGGAAGAAGAAGAAGAAAAGGGGGTCTCGGGAGCGCTCGGGCGGAGCAAGTCCGAGAAGGCTCCCCGAGGTGACTCCGCGATGGAGAGCAAGAGAGCGCGGCTCTTCATCGACGTGGCGGGGAACGGGACAAAAGTGCCTCTCGCCTCTTGGGGGGGAAATCTGCAAAAGAGAGAGGGGGGGAGAGAGAGGGGGGGAGGGGTGGGGGGCTCAGGGTGGAGAGATCTCTCTCTCCCACCCACCCCCAAGCCGGTGGAAACTCGGGGGGAAGGGGGCTTAGTGGGAGAGTTGGGGGAAACTAACCAGCAGCCTTGCCCCCCCTGGGATCCCTGGCCGGAGGGACGCGATCCCAGAGATCTCCTAACCTGCGGTTGGCTGGGAGGAACAGGAGTGGGGGGGGCAGAGAAAGATGTTTTTTAGGGTTCAGGAAATCTCCCCCCCTCCTGTCAATTGGGTTAGGAAAGGCAAAGCATTTGTACAAAACGCAGAGCTTTTTGCAAAAACACAATTTTTAAAAAAAGGAAGGTTGCAATGCTGCATTAGACTCTTTGATTTCCCCCACCCCTCCCCATTCTTGGGATGGGGGAGGAGACAGTCTTTGTGAGCTTCTCTCCCCCCCCACCCCACCTTCCATCCCTCCCCCCCACCATGGGTTGACCTGCTTTCTTGACACCCAATGACCCCTTTTTCAATTCCCAGGCAACTTGAGAGAAATCCATTTAAATCCTGGGGCCGTGTGGAGTTCCTGCTTTTGTTCCTCTCTGTAACACACACACACACACACACACACACACACACACACACACACACACACGAGATGAGGGTCGCGATTAATTTTGAATTTGCAATTATACTCCTAAATAACCGGGCATCTGATAGGGAAGGTGTCAATGCTGACGTTTATTCCTTTATTTACTTATTTATTTACTTAGACAAATGTATTTGCCACACTCGCTTGGTCAAAATGAACACACTCTTTAAGAGTTCTGTTAGAATATGTGTTTTCATAAAAAAAAAAATACAATTGGGTCTAATTTAGCTCCCTCAAAACACATATGTCTTGACATGGAGATACTGTGTTGTGGTTTTACATTCCTCCCGGTTTTTAAAGCACACACAAACACACAATCTGCGGGTACGCAACCTTTATTTATGGCACCTGTATTGATTTGTATTAAAACGGCGTTAATAATATTTACGTAACACCCCTACAAAGGCCAGAACGACGTGTAAATAGTACAACATTTAAACCTAATTGAAAAAGACATCGATATTTGACTTCTGTTTTGTTTTTCTCTCTCCAAATATTGCTTTCTGGGTGTTTTAAGAAAAGTGTAATATTGCATATTTGGAAAGCTTGTGAGATGCAGACTTTGGAGCGAGGTGCTAATCATTTGAACATAACTTAGAATCCGGCTTCTTGAATAAATTTAAACACTTCCAGGTGACCAAAACTTCCAATGTGTTCCCTTTTAGATGCAGGCATTTGCGTGAAGTCGGGAAAATTCACTCTCTTCTAAATTATTGTTATCGTTTGGCCGTTCGTTGTCGTTTTAAGTTCTTTTTGCATCGCTTGTAAATGTCTTAGTTTACACTGGGCTCAGGTGCTGTTTGTTTTTTTTTCCAGTTTCTGGGAAAATGTAAACTTTGTCTTGAAGTCATTAGCACTTCGAGTCACAGTTCGTAACTTGTACACTTTTCTTCTGCCGTCATAAAAGATTTGTTATTTATTTTGTTGGCATCGTGGAGTAGTTTTCAAAGCTTGCCGAAGTGTTTGACCAATCCTTAACTACAGACTTGATCAAAACTGGGTTCTATCAATCTAACGTTACTATTGTATTTAGGCTCAATTGTATATTTTGTGTGTGCTTTTTGTGGCACTGATGCTTCCCACCTGACAGCATTCGTGCCACACAGGCACACAATACACAAAATACACGATCATCCAAGCGCTTGTCGAAGTGAACCAGCGAGTTCAGACTTCTTAGCTTTGGCTTTTCCTGAATGCTAGAGTGATAAAGAAACTTGACATGAAAATAAACTCAGAGAAAAGGGTGATTAATAAAGAAAGCAAGCTTATTCTTTAAACCTCACGCCTTTCTTTTTTTACAAGTAGTCAGAACTCACACGGTGACCTGTTATGTAAAGAAAAGCCTATTTTCTTTTCCTGTCTAGATATTTTGCCCCAGATCCTCCCACCCCTTCTAGTTACAATAACTAGAGCCACTGTTGTTCAGGTTAAGGATAGTGTAATCTACAGGGCAACGGGTTAGGAAAAAACTGGAATATTTCTTTGAAAGGAAAAAAAAAAAAGAGGCAAACACATTAATCAAAGGTTACAGTGCTGTGCATATATTTACTTTGGGGTAAGCTGCATTTTAACCCATTTTGACTCGCTTCCAAATAAACACGTACCGCATGTGATTGCTTGAGGCCCAGCATTTGTCCTTATTATTAATTTAAGAGTTGGAGCCCCCTAATCTAAGATGTTTTCCACTTCTGAGTAGCTGAGAAAGTGTGAGCTTCGCTGGGAGTCTTTGGCGGTGGTGAAGCTGGGGAGGGTTGAAAACTGTGCTCCCAGTCGTTCCGGTGTCACGTTAAGCTAATGCAAAGCGAAGAAAAGTTGTGTGTCGTTCTGCTTAAGGGTGTGATGGTTAAACATCAGCGTTGTAAAACCAATGCGGAGCGGAGACGCCGCTTTTTAAAAAGAGCTCCTTAGAAATGGTGATCTATGGTTTATTGTGACGGAAGTGTACTGAACGTCAAGTGAATTTAGAAATGGCATTTGCTGCTAAAACGGTGGTTAATCCCTTATTATGCTTTGTTTGGACAGAGCTGGCTTTATAACTAGTACGTGTAGTCTTTGATTACAAGCATTAGTTTAGTGACCGTTCAAAGTTACGACGGCGTGGGGGGGAGGGAAAAACAATGATTTACGTCCGTTTTTCACAGTTGCAGCTTTTCCGGTGAATCAAAATTCAGGCGCTTGGCAACTGATTCATATTTATCTCCGTTGTTGCGTCTCCGGGGCTCACGTGATCCTTTTTTGGCGACCTTCTGACAAGCAACATCGATGGGGGAAGTCAGATTCGCTTAACAACCGGGGGGTTACTAACTTATCCACTGCAGTGATTCGCTTAACAACAACGTTGACCGGAAAGGTTGTAAAATGGAACAAAATTCACTTAGCAAATATCTCACTTAACAACGGAAAAGTTTGGGCTCAGTTGTAAAGTCGAAGATGACTACCTGTGTTTTGAGTTATAGCTTATTTCAAACAAACGAACTGAGAAGAAACATTTATTGTTCAGTCGCAACTGTCAGGGAATAAAATCCAATAAAGCTTACGAATTTCTCAAACTCAGTTTAGAACAAGATGGATCGATATGTCATATCACTGTGTAGCCAGTGGTGGGATTCAAATAATTTAACAACCGGTTCTCTGCCCTAATGATTTCTTCCAACAACCAGTTCACCAAACTGCTCAAAAAGTTAACAACCGGTTCTCCCGAAGTGGTGTGAATCGGCTGAATCCCATCACTATGTGTAGCTATCACTAAATCCTGTTGCTCATTTACATTATAAGCAAAAGCTTAGCTTAATGTTTTCAAGATTCGTTTCTGGTGTTTTTTCCCTCCCTTTGAATGTTTGTTGCATATAGATATAAATGTAAATTTTCAGCATTTAGTTGCCTTTGGCTGATTTCCCCCACAAGCATCCATCCTATCTGGTTAATACACCAATAGATCCCAGATCTATAAATCAGATGAGACGTCAGAAAATGTCCAGAAGTTGATAGTTGTTGTTATCTTGCAGCTAAGAAAACGACATTGGCATCTTTAGATCTGACGGTGGCTTTGCTTATATTTACTCCATAATACCATATACTTTAATTCATACTTTCAGAGAACAAAAGATTCTTGAATTGAACAGATTTGCATGAATAGATGTAATAAGGTAGGCAAGAGACGGGACAGCCGTTGTGTCTGAAACGATAAGCAGGGGGTTGGACTAGAAGACCTCTAAGGCCCCTTCCAACTCTGTCGTTCCGTTAGCCCTAAAAACAATGCTCTATTTTTTTAAAAAAAATTAATTTTATTTGTAAACATAACCCAAATCAAACTCCGCATCCCGACAGCATCGTCGAGCATCTTGTTCATTTATTTTAGATTTGATTTTTT